ATAGAAAATATTGATTCTTGCTTTTTGATTTTTGCTATTTAAATTATTATAAAAAGAACTTAGCAAGCAACCACAAGTTTTTATCAAGCATATAATCTTTTAGTACAAAGGAGCTTTGTCCCTGAAGGACTATTGTTTTCGTTTTGCGATTTATCCTCGAATCACTCTGAATGTCCATTTTACTTTTCAAACTGTTCCGACCAAATATTATCGCCCTGGTATTATATTCGAAGAAATTAAATAATGAAAATCTCCATAAAACGTATGTATGTTCCTCGCATTGTGATAAAACAATAGTACCTAGAGCCATCAAATTTTCAATGACGTAATCCTACTGCGAATATGGGCATCTGGAAGCCCAAATTTGAAATTTGGAATTTTTTTTATTATTTATTTCCTATTTTGTAAAACTTTAACGAATTTTTTATTTGATTTGAAGTCAAGAATTTCGAAGCGACCAATGGCAACGCTGTACGGAAAAAACATTTTTATCTCCAGCGCGCGAGACTGTATATTGGAAGTTCTAAGGATATGCTCAATTTAAAATTATTTTGCGATATTGCTCTTGAACTGAATTTTATGGTATAAGTGCGAAGAACAAGATATTTAATAAATAAAACCAACACAAAAATCGTTAAAAAAACGCCCCTTCGGTCGTAATTCAAAATCCGAAACCTTTCAGATTTTAAAGTTTTATTTATTTATTTTTTATAAAAAAAAGTATAAAATAATTTCGAAATTTTTTAGTTTTATTTTAGCATTAATTTACAATGAGGGATTAATTATTAAATTTATTGTTAGTTACTATCTTACTAAGTGAGTTCAAAGTTGATAACATAATTTGCAGTATCGAAATCGCCGTTTATTAAACTCAGTCGCTAACAAAACTAGAATGTGCCTGAAACAGAACTGATTTTAATAACCGGCGTACCATAAATACAATTTCTTTGGCCTTTGTATCATAGTAATTATGCTAATTTCAAGTATACAGTGTTCAGCTTTAAATGTGTATGTGTATTCAAATATTTGGCAAAAAAAGCATAGACTTTGTATCGAGCCTAGTAAAGCAGGCAAAAGACTTTGCATTTTCAAAGCTTAGCTTTTGCAATCTTTTACAGAATTATAAAATTAGTGAAATCTTGCATTCTGTACATCACTTCAAATGTTATATAAATTTGTTCTCAAAGCCTAGCATCATTATTTGATTAGTACAAGTTTTTTTTCTTTATATACTGAAATTTTTACCATACCGCGTGTTGCAAAATATCTTCGTATCAGTGCATTCTACTAGGGTTTATCCCCACATACGACTTTTTTCTTCATCTTGTGTCACTAGATGGCGGCACATGTTGAAATAACAGTTTTGACACGTGCTGCCTGTCGAATTAACAAGTTTGAACCTTAATGTATGTCATACTCAGGGCTTAATTTCTAAAATCAGAAGCGCCGGAGCCCTCTGGAAGGCCGTTAGGAAGAAGGGAATTAATAAATAAAATTAGTAATAATTAAATTTAAATTAAAATGCAATAAAAAATAGAAAAATTTGAAAGGTTTCAGATTTTAAATTACGTCTAAATGTTTTTTTTTTAAAAACATTTTGTCTGTTACCTTTATTTATTAAATAGCACGTTCTTCACACTTAAACCATAAAATTCAGTTCTAGAGAAATATCGCAAAATAGTTTTAAATTGAGCATATCTTTAGAATTTCCGATACACAGTCTCACAACGCGCTGGAGATAAAAGCGTTTCTTCTGTACAACGTTGCCATTGCTCGCTTTGAAATCCTTGAGTTTGTTAATCAAAAATTCGTTAAAGTTTTACAAAATATGAAATCGATAATAAAACAAATTCCAAATTTGGGCTTCCACATGCCCATATTCGTAGGAGGATTACGTCATTCAAAATTCGATGGCTCTATGTACCCTTGTTTTATCACAATGCGAGAAATATACATACATTTATGCAGATTTTTCATTAATTTCTTCAAATATAATGCAGGATTCTAACATTTGGTGGGAACTGTTTGAAAATTTAAACAGACATTTATAGTGAAACAATGCAAAATCGCAAAATGAAAACAATAGTCCTTCAGAGACAAAGCCCCTTTGGACTAATAAACATAAAGATATAAATTTATTATATTAATTATAAGTAGTTACAATTAATGTAATAAAAGAAATAAAATATCGGACTTCGTCTTATTTGGGGTTCCGACAGGACTTACAATCGCAAACAAAAAACTAAGAAATAGCTCAGACGGACTCCTGAATTTAGACTCTAAATATACAGTACAACGTGCGATTTCAGTGAGGGGAGGAGGGACTTTTCTTTACAGCACGCCAGGGTAAAAAAGTAAAACGATTAAAGCATCATTAATGAAAATTGAGAGAATGCTAGAAACATGCAAGTATGGAAAGAAATTTTGATTGTTCATTGTTAATACTTACGGGAACAAAACCATTTTGCCTACTTTCATAAATTTATTAACACTAACTGGAGAATGAGCCTTTGACATGTGTATATTTATTTTTGAAATAAAATTTATCTCCTGAAACTGTCTTTCGCTTACATAATAGTAGTAACGGAGCCTTTTTATTTAGAACTCCAGTAAAAGACGAAGCCTCTCGGTACAAAATCGAATTATAGGTTAATTTGAGCATATGCCAATTGCACCATCACCTTAATGGTCCACTTGTTCTTATGTTTCTCTGCATGCATGTTGTTGCTGCTGTGTTTGTATGTTTTAGATTTAGAAAAACGTTATTGAATAACCATTTTTTTTTATCATACTGCATCTCAATCATTTAATTTTCTCATAAATGCAAATTTTAAAATGTACTCTAGATGCTGTCATAGTCAAGTGAATCATTGTTGAAATCCAAATTTACATGCCAACTTCTCTTTCGCATGTTCTGAGAAAATTATATATCTTAAGTTCTAAGTAACATCTATACAATATTTTTAACATCTGCACGAAGTTCCAAGTCCAGCAAGAAAATAACACATTTGCTACAAATTCCAGGCAAGCAGTAACTACATTATATCCATCTTTCAGGGTTCTTGTTCTGAATGCTAATTCTTAAATAACATCAAGTATCTTTGCCACACAATAAAATAGAAAGCACACATTAAAAAATAATATCCACATTAAAAAAACAAAAGAAATAAACCACTGTCAACAGAAGTTCTCCTTCCCCAGGGTCTACTGGGAGCAATACCGGTATTTAGACTCAGTTTCTATATTAAGTACAGAAACCACCTTACTTCCACTCTGAAGATTTATTTTGTAATGCAGACTGTTTTTCAATAAAAGTGAAATTTATTTAAATTTTATCCTTGAATGTGGAGCATGGTAGGTTAACTTTTATGAATGAGTTGTGGAATAAAAAAACATGCTACAAGAAAATTGTCGGAAAATCGTCTTTCTCAACTGAAGTACTGCAAATAGTCTTAAGAGATACAGACTAATAAACGCGACCAATCATTTGCATATTCATCAATTACATACAAAATATTGGATTGCCTTACAACCAATAAAGGCTTATGATAAAAATGTTAATTTTAATAGAATGTTGTGATGAACCGATGATAGAATGTTGTGATGAACTTCGTGCAGATGTTAAAAATATTGAGTAGATGTTACTTAGAACTAAAGATACATCATTTTCTCAGAACATGCGAAACAGAAGTTGGCATGTAAATTTGGATTTCAACAATAAAAACCATTAAACAAAGCTCAAATAGTCTGAATGGGATAAAAAAGCTGCCTAAAATATGTGGAACTTAGGTAAAAAATCCAGAAAGCATTAACAAATGTGATAACGTACAATCATGCTGTTCATTATTGAAATCTAGTATTTGGAGAAAACCAATACAAATTTTATCTCCACAGCAATTCTGATTTAATAGAACATTTCAAAAACTGAACTTTAAAACTTTCATATAACTTCTACATACCATTGTCATTACTGTTAGCTAGTTATTATTGTATTAGTATAGTTATCTTCATTATGAAGTAATGATAGCAGTTCTAATATTCATCAATAGTAATTATTGTTAAGCAATTATATGTTATTGATTAATTTAAATTTAACTGATGAACTTGCAGCTTATTAGGGTCTGGATATTATAAATGTAATGATGTGCTTATAATTTTTTTCTAGTTTCTGGTCCTATTACCAAGACATTATTTTAATTTAAAAATGAATTTCTCAAAAGATGGATATTAGAAATTTAAGAGGAGATTTTTATATTTTAAATAATTATATGAACTATTGAATAAAAAGCTACTATAAGTAATTCATCAAATTTCAAAATACTAAATTTTTAAAGATAATAAATAGTACATGGTAATTGTAAAGATACACAATCATTTTAAGGAAATGTAGTAATTGATATATATATATATATATAAACTGCAAAATGGCCTCAAAAAAACCCTGCAAAATGGCAAAGTTCTGCTTATCCTTTACAAATACTTTACATTTTAAGCACTTGGTCATATGGCACACATCCAATCTGTAGTCAAACTCAGTTCACATATTTTACTGCAAGTCTTCTAGCTCCTCAGATCAAACATTTTCTTTTGGCATTCATGTCCATAGCAATGTTAGAGCCCAGGGAATGGAAATAATACTGGCATAGTACAGGGAACATGTCTGTGTTGCTAACGATGACTATTAATATGGGAATGGTATAAAAGATGAGTCAAATTTGACTACAACTTGGATGCATGTTGTGTAATTAATGCAAAATGTATGAACTATTAGTGGAGTGAAATGAAAAGTTGATGAGTTTCCAACTTTTTTATGTATCAGTTACAGTTGTGTGTATAAAATACGTATCTTGAAAATACAATGTTTTGAAACAGGAAAAAATCAATTTTACCAAGAGATAAATTACAAAATATAACAGAAATATGGAAAAAATTCTCATAAAACAATTATAATGCTAGGTTAAAACTACCTTTAATTAATAAATTACTCATTAAAATACAAATACAACTGTATCAAAAACAAATTTATTGCTCTTTCATAAGATGCATTAAAAGACTGGAAGCCCTGTAATATTACACGTAATATCAATATTACAGAAAAACTAAAATTTCAGTTTTGTGTATATAATAAAAACTTCACTTTGTGCTTATATCATCAGGCTTACATAAAACTCTATATTTTAAAGTTTCCATTTGACTATTTTTAATTCACAGTTTCAACTCTTTGTTTACAGAAACCTAATTAGTGCCAATACTAAGCAGGAAACCAAATTCTCTATAATATGCAAGCAAAATCAATGTTACTATTTTATGACATAAAAAAATATTTTGCATTTTTACATTAGAATTTACATGGTTATAAATATAAGAATAACCTCATTTGCTCATTTATATTGATATTACAAGTATTCTAGAGGAGTAGTGAACCCTCCTAAACTATATTTTAAATAAATTCATTTTTCATTGTTATTGCAAACAAATAACACAATTTACATTTTTTCATAAAATCAATACTTCTAGGAAGTATTTAATAAGTATAAATTTAAAGAATAAGCGTTTGGAACTTCTTGCAATTAAATTTCATTTTTAAAATATGTTATATTTTTATCCTCGTAATTTTAAATTCATTACTATTGCATATCAATTATTAAAATTAGTAAATGCATCTGCTAAACCGTACTAAGTTTTTACTTTCAACTTAATAAATATTCTGCAGATGAATATTAATTTTTAAACAACTTATGTATATATTTTCTTACAATTTCTGATTAATTGTCTGGTTTTTATGAATGGGATGCTTATGTGTATTAACCTTTAAATAAGATGAAAAATGCAATAAATCTGCAAAAGCTGTAATAAACAACATGAATTTTTACTAAAGCTAAGCACAAATGCTTTGCTTCGCCCCCAATAGGATAACTTTTAATCCTTAAGTAAAATTGAGAAAAAATTACAAATAATATTTTACAAAAATAAACAGAAAAAACCATTAAAAAATTTCTATTTCATGTACTTTATTTGAAGCACTTCTTCCTCACTAGTAAATAATGTTTCTGGTGTCATTAAAATTGCAAAGATATTAATTATCACAATAAACAAATTGACTGCTAACAGAATCAAAATGTATAAATTTTCCAGACTGAAATATTCTAGAACATATAATTTGAAACTTAAGCATGATAAAAACTTTACCATAAATTACATTTCTGTATATCATTTAGAAAGAAAGAAACTTAATCAGGAAAGCTGAAGATGCCTAAAATTAAACTGTATAATTTAACATTTTATCTTTGGCAAGCTCTTTGTTCCCTCTAGAGAATCTAAAATTTAATTTAATTAATTTTATTAAATATGTGCAAAATTAGTTTTTAACACTTATTATACAAAATATCAAGAAGTGTGTTTTACAATTTATATTTGGATATCATTTTATACACAACTTACTAGCCACAACGTAGCCCTGCCCCTCTTCCCCATATTATTAGAATTTAAACCTAACAGAAATCTGCATTCTTAACAGAGCACCTGTTTAAAAATATTATTAAGCAGAAATTATTTTAAAAACTATAAAAGTGCTGAATATGCAGCTTTAAGCCTGATGATACAACCAAAAGCCTTCATACTAATTAACAACAGAAATGTTCTCAAGCAATGATTAAAAATATGTACATGCATAACATATTTTAAATTCAAAAATAAAATACGGCTAAATTGAAAAATATTACAGAAAAAACACAACATGAGTAGTTTTTCTTTTTTTTTTTTTTTTTTTTTTTAACTGCTAAAATCTTTGACCATTTCAAATCCTTTATAGGTATCACAAACTGTATTGCTCATCTAAAATACAAGGTATAACAACTTTAAAGTGTCTGTTAGGATACATATTTAAGTACATAATAACATTTCAGAACTTTGAAAATAATGTGATTATTCTATAGATATCTATATACTGTAACCTTAAAAATTGCACTTTTGGAAAATACTGATTTATAAATAATACTAGTGCAGTATTGAAATTCGTTTCTGCTGCCTTAGCCAGAAGGAAAGACATGTTTGTAGAATGAGAACCTTCCATGCAATATAGAAAATGTTTATAACAATTAGTAAATGAAATATGTGGAAATAAAATGACAGCATAAAACTGCTTTGAATTAACTTCACTACACATAAATTTAGCTAAATAATAACAGTGCTTAGAACAATGTGCTGGTTAAATACATGCTATATTATATGCTGATAAGCAGAATACTAATGGGTTTATTCACAAGTTTGATACAAAAGTTAACTTTTAAACTCTACAAGTCAATGTATATTTTTTAATTCTTTAGGATGATAATGAATTATTTTACATTAAATAATATAGGCATTCTATATTGCTAAGATGTGCTATTTGTAAAGGCTATAAAATGCTGAAATGTGCTGACTGAAGATGTTGAGAATTTCTCGCAAATACATCCATTCATCTACTTCAATGCGTATCATCCATAGCACCTAAAACTTCCCTTTTTGACCACCTTTGAGCAATATTTTTTTGCATAGATAACATGGCAGTTAGGCAATACGTAGCCATATCTTATGGTTGAAAAGCTTATATTAAGAGTATTCTTAGCTTTCTTTAGGTATTAGTATACATAATTTCACTATTTATATGACAATCAAAAAATTAGGGGGGGAAAAAGAAACAAAATAGACAAATTAAATATATACACCACTTATAAAAATACACAACTTGCTCATTACAAATTGTAAGAAAATTAAGATACCTTTAGATCTAAAAAGAAAATGCATGCCAATATTAGGTTAATAGTCTGGGGAATCTTTATATCAGCACGAAGTTCAAAACATCAGATTAGAAAGCTGATCAACAGTTGATATATTATGCCCAAAAGAATGAAATACTTGCCAGGCATACCTCTTTTCAATCACAAAATTACATAAAAAGAATTTATACATACATACAATATACACAATATAAAAAAAGTAGTCAAACTGCATTACTGCAAAAATGAAATAGTAAGTGACTGACTGAGTAAACAAACTGGTCTTATGCAAGTAACATAAAATTCGTAACTTTAATAAAATAAAATTTCATTTAATGAGTCTAGCAGTAGTGCTCAGGTTCTCTGATTGTCTATTTGTATAGGAGTAATTAGAAGTGAATCACAATATCTGTGATAAATACTGTTATAAAACAGATTCAAAGTGTTGCTTATTAAAAATTTTCTAGATTTTATTTACATACATATTGCAACAGCAGTAAAAAAGTCAATTATCTTTACATAGTTAAAAGTATTATCTGACACAGTCATTTCCTTTGAAGCTGTGAAGGTCAAGATAAACTGGATTTCTTCATTGAGAATTTTTACATTCACAATATAATTGATGAATGTGTGTCCAAAACTTAAGAAACTTTGCACAATTTTTTAGATTAAGGCAAATTCATTGGAACATGTATATGCAATTACTATGTTGCATCATCTTTAATCCAACTCGCTGGCACCCATTGAGGTTCTCGTTCAATGACACTGATCTCATGCAAAAGTTCACTATATGTCTTCTCCAAATCAACATTAATAAGCACCAAATCAAAGTAATGGCCATAAAATTCTTCCATTTCCCGAGCTTTTTCAATTATGTCTTTTAATTCTTCATCTTTTACAGTACTGTCCATTTTCAAGCAGTTCTGACGAAGCTTTTCCAGAGATGGAGGAGCAATAAATACAACATATGGCATAAGATCAGATTTTTTCAAGATCTTCAGAGACTAAAAAAAAAGTCTATCATTAATGAAAAACCACAAAAGTGACATTTAAAAACATAGAATGCAAATACTCAAGTGTTTTTTTTTAAATTTATTGAATTTAAATAGTGAAAATTTTTGTTTTCTGTTTACAAACACTTTCTAAAGCATGCTGAAATAAACAATGACCGAAAGAAAAATGCTGAAGTAAAGTCTAGCGAATTTGTTTCTGTGAAATAAATACCTTAATATTTTAATTTTTTTTATCATTATGCATAGCTGCTTCACAAATTTGCAATCAAAATAAGAGCAAACTAATATTGAAAACAAGGAAAGGAAAAACATTTCTGTATACTTAACACATAGCTCTTGATTAATACAATCTTTCTTTTCATAAATTCATAAAATATAATCAACAAAATTAAATTCATGATGTATTACAGCTAAAAATTATTCAGTAATTACTGATTGTATACTGGTTTAAATATGCACTTTGAAAATATGACATATAAGACTAGTCGCAATAAGTTGTTATAGATCACTTTAATTTTCAAGAAATGTTTTTACAGAACTTTATAAATAATTTGATAAAAATTCGTAAGATGAAATCAGCAGCTCCAATAAAACATCCATGTATATCTTTATTTCTACCCAAAATCGTAAATGAAATATATATGCAAAACATAATTCAAATAGTTATTTATTTTCATAAAGCATAAATGTGAATGCATCACTTCTCCCTGAAATTTAGATGCTGATGATGAGAATGGAGAAAACTTTGATGAAAAAATACATGAATATGAGAGATTCTATATTCTTCACCAATTTAGAAAACTGTTATTATATTATTCTTAAAGGTGATAAATATTAACACCTATTTTACATGCACACTTCTCGGTCAATTTTATATTTACCTTTTAAATTTCTAGGATTTCATATATTCTATACATTTCCAATGGAAAAATATTAGCCAATCAGAATGGCTCAATATGATAAAAAAATTGGGAAAAAGATTACACTTATATTCCCTTAGCATTCCTTCAAATGTACAAACACATGCATACATACACAAAAGTTCACAAAAATAAATTAATGAACACTTTATCTATCGACCAAAAAAATTTAGGGAGTTCTTTCAAGTTCTACTTTAATAATTCAAACTTTCTAATACTTGTTTTTAAAGTTCTGCATATCACTTAAAACATCTACTGTAAACAGTATATTAGTTCCAGAATTTTTATTATTAACTTTGCAATATGAAAATAAAAACTAGCAGTTTAATCAAAATGATAAATTTAATATACCTGTGGATGCAGGTTTAAAACACATGTTTTGCCAGAGTCTATGACACTTCTAATGGCATCTAAGCTTGTTCCATAATAGCTTTTTTGATATTCTCCATGTTCAACAAAACGACCAGCTAAAATGTCAGCTTCAAACTGAGTCCTGCTGATGAAGAAATAATCCACCCCATTCACTTCTGAATCCTTCTTTGGTCGACTAGTATCTGAAATTTAATTAAATATTTGTGCTCAGCATTTTAATGGGTTTCCGCTAATTTTAATAGAAAATAAAACTTAACTTCAAAAGAAAATAGAAATAAAACGATAAAAATAGCTTTTATGAATAAATTTCTATAACACACATTTTAAGTATATAAACACATTAAAATCATTGTTTATGATAATCATAAGAAACTTCTAAATACATACAACAAACAGTCTGATACACAAACTGCTAAATCTGATAATGCTACTGCTAAATCTGATAATGGGAAATAAAAAAACGAGAAAATAAAAAATTGTATTTCAGAAAATTTTCAAATCATTTATAAATGTTCTTCATGTGCTTACTATATTAATGTAAATGGATTAAATTTGGAAATACACAATTCAAGTAGAAATGGAATAACTGAAATAGACTTATTTTTAGTGAGATTAATTAATCTTGAAACTCCAAAGATCTTTACATAGATTCTCGCTGATTATTATCTTCAACATTCATATTTTAATAATTAATAATGCAGATCTATAAATAATTCTTAAAAAAATTCCGAATTTTTTTTTTTTTTTTTTCAATAAACTAACTTTAAATCTGATTTTCCTCTAGAAAGTAAATCATAAGATATAAGTAGGATACATGGAAGCATAATAAAAATCAAAGGAAGTTAATTTAAAGGGAAAAAAAAAATTACTTACGAGGTACAGCAGCAGCAAATCTATTTGTGTCTTCCATGAGTCTCTGTCGTAATTCATGCCTTCCCACTTTTTGTGGCCCAATTAAAACAAGTGGCCTTTTCTGGTGTGCACGAGGGTAATATAAGCGAACTTCCTCGTAAGTTAGGACTTGTTCAGAATCTGTGTCTGAAGAAATAAAAATTTATTAAGATAGAGTACCATTTTGAAAAATTTAATGATTGACACAAATTTATGGTAAATCAAATTATATTTTTACCTACTTAACACAATTTATGTGTAATTCACAAATGCTGCCTGACAGGCTGTTATAATACACTAGTAGTTTTGGTTCATGACCATGTAATGAGTTTATTTGCAACACTGGTTTTTCTTATTTTACTCATAAGCAAAGGAATCAAGAGCCAATTTCACCTTTAATGGTCTTCCAAATAGTTATCTATCTTATTGTTAGTTAGGCTTTAAGAGTTTACTGTACCTAACTGATGAATCAAGATGCTTACTGCATACATATACACTTAATAACTTTGCCAAAGCAGAAACTTACAGCAGCAGATACAATCAAGTGGAAAAGAAAATTCTTTAAAATTTGATAAAGCATTATAATAAAATTACATAAAAATGGCTTATGGCATCAATACAAAGTTTGGTTTTATCAACAAAGCCTTTTTGATAACTGGGAAAATACATCATTTATGTAACATTAACTTCAATTAAAGATGAACTCAGTTGTGGAAAAATATTTCTTTTTGAAGGAAAAAATCCATTACCCTTTAAACTGAAAATTATTGTTAAAACTAATGCCAGATAAACACTGAGAATGAAAACTCTACCAAATATCCACTGCATTCATTTTCCATCATAGTACTGACAGAAAAGGTAAACCGAATGATACCAGAGCTCTTCAAACATAGTGAGTAGATCCTGAAGGCTTTGATAATCTTAAAAAACTACAAACAATGCTGTCCAATAACATAAAAACACATAACGTCTGTTCAAATTACATAATTATCCGCACTATTTTAACAACTCAAAACAACATATCTTTTATCATATTGTTGCAAATGTTAGCCATATACCCATATGTATTAAGATAGCTGAAATCTTCAATAAAATTTAAGCACTACAGTTTATTTCTCTGTTCACAGTAACCAACATCACTATAACTTTTCACTAGATGAAACTTCCTACTGACAAAACAAATAAAAATTTTGTTATAAAGAAAATTTATCTGCTAGACATTAGACAATTTTTCACTTATAATTTTGCAAGATCTAAACATATAATACAATTATGAAATTCCATTTCCATAAAGAGATGCATTTTAACAAAATTCATTACAGTACAAAGTCTAAAATCAAAACTCATTAGAACTTTTGCAACTCCAAATTTGGGGTTTTTCTGGATATCATCAGTTTAAATCTAGTGAAATGACATGAAGAAATTATTAAATTAAAAATATGAAATGGTGATATATGAAATAATAAAGCATTTATGACATTAAGAGAATCAGAATTTACCAAAAAATGAATATTTATTTGTTTGCTTTACTAATTCAATATTAGTTTTTTAAGTTGCTTTGTTTTTTGTGATAATACTTTCTCTTTAAAAGTACACATTACTTCTTGTTCAGTTACAAAGCTCCCCTGTTCAAGTCCTATTATTGCCATGTTGATAATTCCCACTAAATTGTCAGTTCTATCTTTTTATTCCCAATGTCCTCTCTGTCACTTTCTTCACTATCGATAGCAATATTTTCTGGATTTAGAACCACACTACAGATTTTGCCATCCATTAATTGATTGATAATTGGGGTCTGGTTATCATAATGGAAAATCTTCCATTATATCATCTTCATTTATTACTACCTCTCAACATTTCTTTACAAATCATTAATCAGAAAATTTTGCTTTTTGTCTGTGATATCTGAAAAGCTGCAAGTTTGTGTGTATCATCATAAAGCTTAGCTAGCATACTAACTACTGTTAATGTATCATGAGATTGGTGACCAGAGACATATTTTTCTGTTACACTTGTCTTTCTTCTATCACACGCTGACAAAGTTAAGCCTGAAACAAATTACTATAGTTATTTATTTTATTAACACCTATTTCCCCACATATTTAAGTCCCGAAAATACATTCCCATATAAAGTTAAGGCTTATCCATGCACTAGACATTTTGCAGCCTGATGCAGTCTTTGCACATTCAAAATTCTGCTGAAAAGCCTCTAATTAAATTTGAAAATTTTTTTCGCCCCTATGTTTTGAATCTCAGTGTCTTCTTTTGTCATCCTTCAATTTTGTTGCACAGTGCTTTTCTAAATTCTAAAAACTCTGCTGCCAGAAGCGGCCGCACCTGTTCTGGCACCAGTCCTGGGCTAACGAACCAGTTACTCTCAGTTCAAACAACATTAAAATCTAATCTTTTTGGTCTATGAGTATCATTTTGATAAATCTTTTTTTTTTCTTCCTCTCTCTCCCAAATATGGAAAGAAATTTTGGTCAAATTTGTCCTGGTCAATACATTCAAGACTTCATAATAAAGTTAGCTGCTACCCATTGCTAAATATAATCATGATCCCTAAGCATAATGCCAACATATGGTTACCATGCTCTTTAGTATTCAGTTACTAATGTTTAAAAAAAAATGCTTAGACATTGCTAGGAGAGTCATTTCTCCAGCTACAGTGTATTGATAGTCATGGGATGATGAAAACAAAAAATATGATTCCCCTGCTTGGCTTCAGAGATCCAAATTATTCAGCAGGTGTAAAATTAAGGATGTTTTGGTTTTAGATGCATGCCAAGTAAAAAGGGGCTATGGAGTCAAATTATTGATCCGGCAGATTTTATGCTAATAAATGATCAAATATGGTGTATTTTATTTGGTACCAAAGTGAAATTAAAAATTGGGATGAAAAAATATCAAATGCGCAAACATAAAGTATTCTAAAATTAAGTTACTGGTGATCTGGAGGTTTGGATTTTACATCATTCCAGTTATTGGATGCCTGGATTTCAGACTTTGTACTGTATTATACACATATTAAATTTTAACCATTAAAAACACTGTGCATTCTAACAATTATAAAAAAATTAATAATTAAGTTTTAGAACTACCATGAAAAACTAATCAATATATTTTTAAATAAACTATTCTTCTTACCATCATTGTAATTTAAATTATATAATTTCTTCTTTTTTCTTCGATGATGTCTTCTAGCACATAAAAATTTTCCTGAGCAAGAAAAATATGACGTAGTCATGTTATTTATATTAAGAATGTAATTAAAGATAAGCCATAAATAAGATTAAGACAGATATTAACACATTACAATGACAGCACACCTTTTTTTGACTTTCTTTCCCTTGTATCACCAACTACAGCTCGTTTCATTATTTCCCGTCTATAAAATAAAAAGTTTCTTTAATAAAATTTCTCATTTTATACAAAACACATTTTTTAAATAGAGCAGTAATAATAAAATATTTTTTGGTTAAATGAGCATATCAACTTATCAAAAAAATGTTTTAAGTTTTTGAGGTTTGAGAGGCGTATATTGTAGACAGCCCACTTAATATTTGACAGAAATTAATTCTCTCAAGGGGCCAATAACCTATAAAATATTGATAAGTGTGGGTCTTACAATATTTAATTTAAAATATTAACTGACAATGAAATCATATTACACATACAAAGGAAAAAAAATTGTCAAAGCATTAATTTTTAACACTGTTCAGAAAACAGAACTTTTATTCTTCTTCCCCATCAGATGTCAGAATTAATTGCATAATGCCTATGTGCTTAAAACTCAACAATTTTTTAAAAATAAAATAAGTAATAAATTCTATTTAAGAAATAACATGACAAAAAATTAATTTCTTGTTTCCAAATAAAAACAACACATTATTACACAAATAAATTAATCACCCTTAATTCATTAAATAAGAACAATAAAACTAACCAGTCAACAAGTATAGTATTGATTAACTATGCAAAAAATTGTTAACATATAAATTATTTATGCTTAACAATATGAACGATTCGAAATGCTCTAGTAGAAACTGCATTTATCCAAATATGCAGATCCACATGCATATTCGGAAAAATATACACAATGCAGACCTGTTTTTCAAGCACATTTTTGGAAGCTCAGGAATTTTTATATCAAATTGTACAAAACGTTGATTCATTCATCTGGAAGATGTTCACACCTAGTATACACATCCTTTAAATACATACTCATAATAAATATGCAAAACTCAATATATATGCTAAAATATGCACATTATCTATGTTCATATAGTGAGTCCATAACCTTAATTTTAGCACTCATATTGAACTTTTAAACATGCAATATGAGTAGTAATTTATGCAATTTCCATATGAATCTTTAAAACATAAAATGTTTCATTTACTGTAAAATATACGTCTTACAAACAGAAAGAGAAAATAATAGTTAAGAAACATGCATGCTTTCAAACATGCAATATGAGAAGTAATATGAGTAGTAATTTATGCAATTTCCATACGAATCTTTAAAACAAAATGTTTCATTTACTGTAAAATATACAATGTCTTACAAACAGGAAGAGAAAAGAATAGTTAAGAATGTACATGAAACAATGAATAGTACATGAAACAATGTTTATAATATGTACTTAAACAAAAATTAAACTGAAAAGTAATGTATGAAAAAATACATTTCAGACATTCTTCTACAGAAAGAAAGACTAATCAGACAAAAAGAGATCTAAAATACTTACTGTTGTTGGAAGCTCTTACTAGGAATGAGGCCAGCGAGTAACTGATCTTCTTCACCTTCTCTGTATGCCTGCCACCAATTAGGATCTTCTTGACTTATAACATGCAGAACATCTCCCTTTTGAAAGGACATACCCAGTTCTCGACAAGGAATGTATAAGTCATCATCAGGTTCATAATCAAAATGAGCTTTCAGATGGATCTACATAAATATTATGAAAAATTTTAAACATTTAAGTAACTTTGGTTCTCTTAAATATTGCACCATCAGTAATATTTTCAAACATGCAAAGCAATTCATATAATCCCATAGCTGCCAACTTTGAAATATGAAAAACCGGAAGGTTCTTCAATGAAACTGAATTTCTGGGAAATTTTTAAGCATGGCTGAGACACTTTCAAAAGGACTTAAAATGGATTTAAATTAATTTTATAATGTATTCAGGTTACTGAACTATTTACAATTTGATTCCGATGCAAAATATCATAATACTTAATAGATAATCTAAATTTCATATTCTCTGGACAATTTCATCTTATAATTTTCTTACTTTTACACTAAAAAAATCCTGAATAAAGAAGAAAAGCTTTTCTTAACCAAAGAACTTTTTATTATGATGAAAAATAAAATTACTAATTAATGTACAAATTACTGTAAAACAAAGCATAAATGGAAAATCATTTGAGACTTATTTTATTAGTTGTTATGAAATGATGGCTATTATGAAGTGATCATTATAAAAAGCACATACTGCATAGACAACACATATTTTAAACAGGAACTTAAAAATGAATTGAATTAGATATGGATATTTTAAAAACCTAATGGATAATGATTAAAATAGGAAAAATTATATGCAGATAGCCGACAAAAACTCGAAAGCTTACAAACCTGAAACATTTTTGTTGTATATTTTGTAAAACATGTTCTTGGTATTGAGATGATAAAAGCTAAACACACACACATTGATAAGATATCTATATATATATATTCTTATCAATACAAAGAAATTTATCATTAAATAATATAGTTCGTATATAGAGTAGAATTCAAGTAATTTGTACATCTCAGAACAAAAGATTGTGCAGAATGGCAAAATTTTTATATTACAGGTTATGTTATTCTTATACTTCAAGAATTATTTCATTAGGAGTTGTTGAATACAAAACTTAACTATTTAATTAAAGCTATTTTAATTACATTTGTGTACAAAGAAGTATTAGCAGATGAGAAAATATTATTTGGAGAAAAAGTGATAAATGAGAAGGAATTTTTTTGAGAAAGTGATAATTTTGAAAAACATATCAAAATATTTTGTAAAGAAATAGTATATCTGGCAGCAAAATAAAAAACTCAGCAATACATTTTTCTCTAAATCAAATCCTTACATAAACTTAATTATGTACTATTTATGATTAAAAAATAAATACAAAGGTTAACTGATTAAACATTGGTTGAATCTTCATAAAAAGTTCTACAAATGTGTACAGAAGATTACAGTAGTCCAGATTAAATTTAATTTAATAAGAAAAATTATGCTGATCTTCACTACTGATAAGGATGAGAGAATGGTATTGGCCAAACTTAAGTTTCATCAATTCAATAAATTTTATTTATTGTTGGGAAACATTTTCCTTAGTAAAAATTAAAGTTGGTACTATTATATTATATATATTTCTATTTCATAATATGCACAGATCTACTGTATAAACTGATTTTGAAAATCGCACAATTTTACTAAAGTAATACTTTATTCAAACATAGCTTCCTATTCAAAGCTGCAGTTCAACCTACCAGTAAAATGTTGGTTTAGTGATGCCAAAAAAAATAAACAACTAACAGTAAAACTACCAACAGCAAAACATACATGACTTAAATTATTAATACATGACTTAAATACATAAATGACTTAAATTATCACAACTGTATAATTTAAAAAGTTACACATTGATAAAAGACAGATAACATTTAGCTCACATTTAAATACATACTAAAAATACTTAAATATATACTGTATACTGGGTGTTCATGTAAAGATAAACTGAAAGTGGTAAGAGTAGACACTGAGAGGCACAATAATTGTCATGGAACATAATTATGACAAATTATATCTGCTTCATGTAAAATCACTAAATTACTTATGAAGTCTGATATCAAGTTGGAAATATAATACCATAATCATTAAAACCCAGACTTTTCTTCAAATTTATTTTCTTTGAAATCTCGAGCAACATTTCCTCTTTATTAAAACTGGCATTATCAATTCTTTGAACATCTAACAATTGCACATTCCCCAGGTTTTTGTTGCCTTGCAAACCAGTATGATAGAAGAAACTTTTACAGACACTCCACCCCCTATAATTGCATATATAGAATATTTATTTTGTCAATATTATTTTTATCTAGTGCAGAAATTATTTTTCTTAAAAGCAATTTTTTTTCTAACTGCCTTTGAAATTTATGATGTTCCTTTAGATTGAATACCAGACTTATCATTCGACAGCAAGCATTCCACTCTTATATTGTCACTGGTGTGAACAACCCAGTTAAAAACTATGACAATCATTTGTTTATCTAAATCATACAACCATTCATAAAAAAGTTTGCTCCACAATGGATATATTATTTTTGTGGATATCTAATAACATTTTAAGACCTTTGAAGCATCTCAGGCTTCTGGACTTAACCACAAATGGAAATTTTCAGTACCAGACTCACTGGCACACAGAAGAATTACTGTATTCACCCCTAGCCTTTTTAGCATAAGGTTCTGAAATTTTTTAAGCATTCACATAGAAATTACCCCAAATTTTTAAATGGATTCATTCGTCCAGTGATTGTTTTCGTATTACTAACTGATTTGCTCATGGAATTTGGGTCCATCGGCTTTCATCGATAAAGCAATAATAGCGATGAGCTTCAAGAAAATGAAAGTATCTAATGTTCCTGATGGTTCTGAAGATCATGGGAAAACAGACTAAACAGTGACAAAATGATGCTAGCAACAATTAATTGCAAGCTGTAGCAGATGATACACAGTCCTTCTAGCAGCATTAAATTAGCAGTGGACAACATCAAAAGCCAATCAAATTCAAGACAAGACACAGAGAAACAGAAATGAAGATAACTTATTATATAGTGTAATGTTCATATTACTCTGCATTCTTATCAAAATGCAAGTTTCTTTTAAATAAATAATGTTGTGATAACTACCCATAGTTTATCTAAGAATACTTTTCACTTGTTATGACTAATAGGAAGGACACTTTCATGGAGGACTTTCTGAGAGAAACTAGTCCATATTCACATTATACATGGAGAAAACCATGAAAATCAACTACACAGACAGCCTATTCACCTGGGATCGAACCCAAGCAAAGTCGAATTACCAGTATTCAGCAGCTTTAACCATTGAGCCATTGATAAAACATCCATCCTAAGAAACAGCCTGATAATACATAAATATCAGCCTTGAATAAATGTTCAAGGAAATTTTAAGTTCTTTGAAAAAAGAAAAGAGAAATCGGATATCGTATTAAAACAAATTATCATCGTGAGGCATAAACATGAGATGTAAAAATAACAAAGCATAAATGGAAGATCATTTGAGACTTATTTTATTAGTTGTAATGAAATGATGGCTATTATGAAGTGATCATTATAAAAAGCACATACTGCATAGACAACACATATTTTAAATAGGAACTTAAAAATGAAATGAATTAGATATGGATATTTTAGAAACCTAATGGATAATGATTAAAATAGGAAAGATTATGTGCAGATAGCCGATAAAAACTCGAAAGCTTACAAACATGAAATATTTTTGTTGTGTATTTTGTAAAACATGTTCTTGGTATTGAGATGATAAAAGCTAAACACACACACACACACACACACACATATATATATATATATACAAAAAAATTTATCATTAAATAATACAGTTCGTATATACAGTAGAATTCTAGTAATTTGTACATCTCAGAACAAAAGATTGTGCAGAATGGCAAAATTTTTATATTACAGGTTATGTTATTCTTATACTTCAAGAATTATTTTATTAGGAGTTGTTGAATACAAAACTTAACTATTTAATTAAAGCTATTTTAATTACATTTGTGTACAAAGAAGTATTAGCAGATGGGAAAATATTATTTGGAGAAAAAGTGATAAATGAGAAGGAATTTTTTTGAGAAAGTGATAATTTTGAAAAACATATCAAAATATTTTGTTAAGAAATAGTATATCTGGCAGCAAAATAAAAAACTCAGCAATACATTTTTCTCTAAATCAAATCCTTACATTAAAGCGACCATTACATTATGTGTATATATGCTGTTGGATCACTAGCAACTTACAAAATGTGCTAGCATAAAAAAGTTTGATTTATTTAAAAAAAAAAAAAAATGTTTTTTAACTTCTACATTTGTTATCATGTTTTAACACCACATAAATCTTTATTTGCTATTTTTATGAGTCTACGTCTATTCCCTGGTGATGTAAATAAGTTTACTGTCTTTGTACAGAATATAAACCAACCAATTAAATTGCACATTTCAGTTGAAAATCAACATCTGAAATGATATGGTCATAAAAATTCTTTATACATATAAGTTGTTATATAAAATCAGTATTAAATGATAATGGAATATACACTTTATCTTAAAAAAAATCTGATGTGGACACCATACGAGTTCCTTGTATGGCCTATTAAGTTATACACACTTTTACTGCACTTTGGATATATTTCTCATTCAATTAACTCACTTCTCACTTTGCGGCAAGGCAAACAAATGTAAAAGCTCAAAATATCTTCATTAAAATTTGTAAACTACAGAAACAATAAAAATTAAAAAAACAATAAAATTTAATTCATTAAAATTTGTAAACTACACAAACAAACTACTAAAACACCAAATACAATCAAAAACATTGAAAAAAAATTTTTACAACTAAAATTCCAGTTTCTATGCCAAAACAAGCAATTTAGCCAATGCCTAGAAAGGCAAAATTTTCGATGTAAAAAATTTTAAGTTAACTTTTGGTCCCACTGTGTAAAAAGACACTAAATTTGATGCACCAAATGATTTAATTAACTATACTACTAATAGTTTCAAATGTAAATGAACAGTCACTACCGCATGCCTAGCCGACACTTACATTTTTAAATTGTTGATAGTTCTATAACCATTGCATGCATAAAAATCTTTACCGAAACATAAACAACATAACTGAATCACTTTTAAAGCAAAATATGCATAATTTACCAACATATATATATAAGGAACACAACTCACCAAGCTGGGAAAAGAGGGTGGGTACATTTGGTGCCGACAATTGCAACAAAAAAGGGAGATGCACAGCTACATGTTATAACAGTCCAGTCCCATACAGTGCTTAAATTGCACCGGAGCCCACCAGAGCCTGGCTCAATTTTTAAAATTGAATTTTAAAAATTGAGTTTTGAAATTACTACTTCTCAATTTTTAAGATAAATTACAATTTTAGCGGGAGTGCACCGGAGCCCTAAATAAGATGAGCTCCGGTACTTCTTTTTATAATCTGAACCGCAATTTAAAGGAAAAAAAATTTATAATTCCTAACGTTTTAGTTTAACAATAAGCAGACCTCGCAATACTCTATTTCCCTAGAAATACGAACTCATAAGAATATGAGACGTTCAAGTAAAGTCCCCTCACTCACATGCGGAAACCTTTCCCTTTAAAAAAAGCAATAAATTTGGGGAAGTTTGTTTAGGAATGTCTAAATTTCTCGCCATGCCATTGTATCTAGTGTATTGTTATCGATGCTTACAGTTAGTTATCCTGGCAGGAAGGAAAAGGAAAATTTGTGTTCTTAAATGTGTGTTAAGTGACAGCGAGTACAATAAGAGTGAAATACTGAGAAAAACTGCTCAAGCACGTCCTATACATCGTCTTCCCACAGTATCCACTAATTTGGGGGGGAAGCGTAACCGCAATTTTACATTTAGGAGTCAACAAACTCATTTACCCCTGACACCCATCTGCTTGATAGCTATAATTATATCAACAGAGAGCCGCAGTCAAAGAGAAAGTTGTCTCTCATCAAGATACCCCTCTTTTTTTGTTTCCACAAACTCATACCTTCATTCTGTTTCGCCCTGGAATTTTCCTCAGCTATACTTTAAGAATATTTAATTTTTGTGATGATAAAAGAACTTCCCTCCGCCTATGATCAGAACTTAAATTGGGCCGGAACCCACCAGATCTCGGCTCCGGTGTTTCTTAGTTTTTGTAATAAATCGCAATTCTAGCCGGAACGCACCGGAGCCCTGAATAACAAAGCTGCGGCACTTCTTTTATGTAATTGAATAATAATTTCAGTAGAAATTTTTATCTCGAAAATTTTATTTTAAAAATAAAATTATATTAAAAATTGGTTTTAAAATTTCACTTTATCTCTTTACATTTTATTTAATTTTAATTATTTAATTATTTCATTCTTTAAGTTATTTCAATAAATAATAATTATCAATTAAATAATCATAAATTAATTATCTAATAATTATCGATTAAATAACAATTTATAAACATTAACTAAATAGCTATTAATTAATTTTATAATGATTAACTATTTAATTTTTTAAAATTATTAATTAATTCAATGGTCATTTTATTTATTTTACTCTTGTTCCTCTTTGCTGACAGGCTTCTATAGGGCTCTGGCACTTCTAATCTTAGAAATTAAGCCCTGGTCCCATATATAAAATTTCAACACTCCATAGTTAACTGTTTTTGAATTACATGAGATATGTACATACGTACAGATGTCATGGAAAAAAACTCTTCTGAATCCATTTTAAAATCTGTTTTGAATAAAATAGTCCTTTATTCTATCTGTACATGCAGATTTAAACAAAAATAAATTGTTAAAATCGATTTGAGAACAGTCAAAATGGATGTTTTCTTTGAAATATGATACCTGAAATTTTTCAGAATTGCAATACTTCCTTTACTTCGTACAAAGAAGCAAAAAATCGCAAATTAATGATCCATAATTACTATAAAAAGTTCAGAAAATGTTAAGTAATTTTAATAATAAAATAACTTTTTAAGTCAAAATATTATATGAATATTATATAATTTTGTTAAAAATTTATTCACTTACTGCTAGGAAAAACACTGCCATTAAATTTAGAACCCAGATTTCCTGAAAACTGAAGCTGGAACATTTATCAGAATTATACTGTATTACAAAGGCCTGCTTAACAGTTAATTGTGGTTTTTATAAACATTTGCTTTTCCACATCATATGGCTGGTCAAAGAATACCAACATTTTCTATCCTTAAAAAATAATAAAATATTTCTTTTTAATCATAAAACACAAAATTATACTTACAACACTTTCTCTTGTTTGTGGTTTCAAGTCATATTGACTCGGAACAATAAGGAAAGTTAAAGTTCCAGACATAGTTGCCTAAAAATAAGGAAAAACTTATAAATATTAAAATATCTTAAAGCTTATTATAATGCTATGGTTGAAAAAGATATCTACCATCTTAACTGAAATAAATGTACTTAAACAACAATTCTATTTCAGAAACACTTTGCACAAAAAAAGGGGGAAGACTTTTCTATGTTTCCTGTTTTACTGGGCCGATTGACGAAATTCAAACTGCTTTTATCATGTCTCGAAAGCGCGACTTAGGATATGCATTAGATTTATATATAGCATTGTTCAAATATAGGTACTTTGACACTAAATCGGACTTTTTCTGAAATAACATGCTAGTTTTCTTTCCATATTTCGATTCTACGACTCAAATTAC